AAAAAAATGACAATGATTTTTAAAACAGACCTTCAGGAGCGGATCTATAGCTCTACCAAAGCGGGGATGAATCTACTTGTTGCCGTTCCGAATTTTAACACCTTATCCAACATCAGCACATTGATTTAGCCTGCTAAACTTGCCAATGTCCAGAGCATTACATAGGTTCTTTTAGAAAATGATTTAAAAGCCCCATCCTAACTTTGAGAAAGGTTTATGTTTGTGATGATGTATGTTGTGTCTTTAACAATCACCGGACTGATTCCAGAAGCTTCATCTAAAAACACATTTTCTAGCTCAGTTTTTATACCCTGTAGCTGTATATTGGTGTTTACAGAAATGGTATAATAGAGTCACAGTGGGGATGTTCAGCTCTCTTTTCTTTTCAAATATTATTGTAGATACAGCTGCAGGAACAATGTAGGGAGTTTTTGTTTTTATGGAAGTGTTCTTTTTTTTTTTTAACCAAGTTCTGATTGACATGTAACATTGTGTTAGCTTCAGGTGTCTGACATGATGATTTGATATTTGTATATATTGCAAAATGATCACCACAGTAAGTGTAGTTAAATCCGTCACCATCCATAAAGAATTTTTTTCTTGTCAGGACAAAAGTGTTCTTAAATAACAAATATTGGGGCGCCTGGGTGGCGCAGTCGGTTAAGCGTCCGACTTCAGCCAGGTCACGATCTCGCGGTCCGTGAGTTCGAGCCCCGCGTCGGGCTCTGGGCTGATGGCTCGGAGCCTGGAGCCTGTTTCCGATTCTGTGTCTCCCTCTCTCTCTGCCCCTCCCCCGTTCATGCTCTGTCTCTCTCTGTCCCAAAAAAATAAATAAAAAAAAAAAACGTTAAAAAATAAAAAAAAATAAAAAAAAAATAACAAATATTTATAACTGTTATGTGAGAGCCTCCCACAAGACTAATGAAGGAGTTGGAATGCAAAGTTTTTCAAAACTAGAACAACTAGAAGGTTTATAATATCTTTAGTTATTAGCGAAAGGAAATAGATGGGAAGCCTGCCACGGTGTAATTACCCACAAAATTCAGGAGAAATTAAGTGTTTTCGCCAAAGGTTTGTGCCTCTCGATTCTTCATTTAAATCTTCTGAGATACACCTGTACTCTTGGAATAAAGTGCTTGCGTATGCGGTAACTCGTCTTGGTCAGCAATTCAGACGGAACAAGCACTCTCCGTTGCTGTTCTATACTGTGCTAGAGGACAAGGAAAGACACACTGATCGCAATTCTTAAGCCGTTTATTTTTTCAAAGAAATTAAAACTTGTCTTTATATCAGCAGCTCCGTCACAACTGCAGTCTAAACCCCAGCCTGGTGATTATGGAAAGTCCAGCTTGCAAACGCTATTGACATCCTGTTATATTTCAGCCTCCCTGGATCATAACCTCATGAGGAAGAACATATCTGATTTATCTGAATATCTGAGCTTCCACAGTTGTTGTCAGAAAGCGCTAATTTTGGGGTACTCACTGATAAAACCATAAGTACAATGACCTATTAGAATGATTATCCTTTTACCCTGATGCTTTTTATATTAGCATTTGGGTAGAAAGATCAGCTGTGTTTGAAGATTCTCCTGGTCTCACATTTTAGCAGAATCATTGTGTTAATCGTTGTTAAATAGCATATTAAGCCCTCAGAGGATCTAATCAATCAATGTTTGTTGAAGCCCTATATTTACATACATGGCATGTTCTAGGCAATATGAGGACACACAATAGAAGATACTGACTGCTTCTAAAGAAACAAGGTGTTGCTCATTAAAAAAAAAAATTCTGGAAGAATTATATCAAAATGGTACATGATGGGTTGCTAAGTGAGTGATAGATACAATGTTTTACTCCAATGACAATTAGCCTTTAAGCTCCAAATTTATGAAATGCTGCTCTATATAAATGTAAATATAAATATAAAATTATTTCATAAAAATAAGTAAGCCTATAATTACAGAGGCAAAATTCATATTACATACAGTAGGCACATTTGGGGTATACGTATATTTATATTATACTATATTCTTTAGCTTGTGGCCTTCTGTTATGGGTACGTGCTGAATGAAGGACTCTTGGTTAACATTTGTCAGTTGTTACTCAATGCTGAGCATTCAAAATGGAAATATTTTTATTGGGGATATAAATATTTAATCAGATGCTTTTCAAAATGGCTTCTTAGTCTCTAAGAATCATTTAAACTGGGCAATTAGAAAAACAAAAGAGGGGCACTTGGGTGACTCAGTCAGTTAAGCATCCAACTCTTGATTTCGGCTCAGGTCCTGACCTCATGGTTCATGAGATCAAGCCCCATGGTGGCCTCTGCACTGACAGTGTGGAGCCTGCTTGGGGTTCTCTCTCTCTCCCTCCCTCTCTCACTGCCCCTCCCCTGCTTGTGCACATGCTCTCTCTCTCTCAAAATAAATAAACTTTAAAAAAAAAGAAAAAGAAAGAAAAGGCATCTGTATTGGGAAACTATCTCTGTTTGCAGATGACATGATCTTGTATATAGAAATTCCTAAAGACGGGGCGCCTGGGTGGCGCAGTCGGTTAAGCGTCCGACTTCAGCCAGGTCACGATCTCACGATCCGTGAGTTCGAGCCCCGCGTCAGGCTGTGGGCTGATGGCTCAGAGCCTGGAGCCTGTTTCCGATTCTGTGTCTCCCTCTCTCTCTGCCCCTCCCCCATTCATGCTCTGTCTCTCTCTGTCCCAAAAAATAAATAAACGTTGAAAAAAAAAATTTTTTTTAAAAAAAGAAATTCCTAAAGAATCCACCCATAAAAGCTATTAGAGCTAATAAATGCATGCAACAAGATTGCATAACACAAGATTGATGTACAAAAATAAACTGTTTTTCTATCAGTGAACAGTCAATCCAAAAATGAAATTAAGAGAATAATTCCATTCATAATAGCATCAAAAAGAATAAAAGGAGTATTAGGCTTGTACATTGGAAGCTACAAAACATCAGTGAAACAAATGAAATGGGAACTAAATAAGCGGAAAGATATCCCATGTTCATGGACTGGAAAACTATTATTAAGGTGGTAGTAGTCCCCAGAATGATCTACAGTTTCAACACAATCCCTATCAAAATTTCAACTGCCTTTTTTTGCAGAAATTGACAAACTGGTCCTAAAATTCATATGAGATACAAGGGACCCAGAATAGCCAAAACTATCTTGAAAAAAAAAAAAACAAAGTTACAGGGACTCCCCCTTTTCAATTTCAAACCTTACAACAAAGCAATAGTAATCGAGACTCTGCGGTATTGGCATAAGAATAAACACATAGATCCATGGGGTAGAATTGAGAGCTCAGAAATAAACTCACACATTTATGGTTAGTGGATTTTCAACAGGGTGCCAAACAATTAAATGGAGAAAGAAGAGTCTTCAATAAATGGTGCTGGGACAAATGGATATTCACATGCAAAAGAATGAAGTTAGATCACTAGCTCACATCACACACAAAATAAACTCAACATGAATTAAAGACCTAAATGTTTTAGGCCACTAAAAATATAAAATTCTTAGGAGAAAACATTCTTGGGTTAGGCAATGATTTCTTAGATATGACACCCAAAGCACAAGTCACTAAAGAAAAATTAGATACATTGAACTTCATCACAATTAAAAACTTTTGTACTTCAAAGGACACGGTCAAGAAAATGAAAAGGAAACCCATAGAATGGGAGAAAATATTTGCAGATCATATATTTGCAAATCCAGAATAAACATAGAACTTTTGAAACTCAATAATAAAAAGACAAATAGCCCAGTTTTAAAATGGGCAAACGATTTAAACAGATATCTCTCCAAAAAAAATATACAAATTTCCAATAAGCACATGAAATATGGTCAACATCATTAGTCATCAGGGAAATGCAAATCAAAACAATGAAATACTACTTCATATCCATTAGGATGGCTATAAAAAAAAACAGGCAAAAACAAGTGTTGGCAAGGATGTGGAGAAATTGGAACTCTCGTGCATTGCTGGTGGAAATACAAAATGGTGCAGCTGTATTGAAAACAGTTTGGAAGTTCTTCAAAAAATTAAACAGAATTGCCATATGATCCAGCACTTCCACTCCTAGGATATACTCAAGGTGAATCGAAAACATATGTTGACACAAAAACTTATACACACATGTTCATTGCAGCATTATTCATGGTAACCAAAAGGTGGAAACAATCCAAATGTCCATCAGCTGATGAATGTATAAACCTGATATGGTATATCCATACAATGTAATATTATTCAGCCGTATAAAGTACAGATTCGTACTACAGTATAGATGAATCTTGAGCGCATTATGCTAACTTAAGCCAGACACAAAAGGTCACATATTTTATGATTCTATTTATAAGAGATGTCCAGAATACTATAGGCAAAATCATGGAGTCAGAAAGTAGATAAATGGTTTCACGGGACCAAGGTAGTGAGGGAAATGAAAAGTGACTGTTAATGGGTAGGGAGTTTCTTTCAGGGCTGATGAAAATGTTCTGGAATTAGATAGTGGTGATGGTTGCTCAACTGTGTGGAACATTAAAACCACTAAATGGTCCACTGTGGAAGGGTGAGTTTTTATTGATATCTCGATTTTTCTATTGCTATCTCAATATTTTTCCTTGAGCACTCTACAAATGAAGTTCTAATAAAGCATAATATAACTTGCAAAAGATACTGTCATCACAGCACATATTTATATATTTTGTTCCTAAGAAGAAACAAAAGAAGCTTCATAATTAGGCTTAGGATTGGCGTAAAAGCTTACCAGTTGTAAGTGTCGGTGCAGAAGGTAATGAGTCCGCCATTTGTCTCGAGTCGTACTATGAGGACAACCATGAGTCCAGTGCTCCTGTTCTCTCTTTGACTTGACATGGACCCTTCTCGCTTAGATTGATCAGACATTTGTTGTCCTGAAACTGAGGGAAGAATCCCAAGTATTTTCACCCGAGGTCTCATATTTGCTCTCTTGTTCTTTCCCAGGTGCTACCTTTCCCGAGCCAGGTCGTGTACAACAGGGTAGGCAAGTGTGGGAGTCGTACTGTGGTCTTGCTTCTGAGAATCTTGTCAGAGAAGCACGGATTCAATTTGGTCACGTCAGACATTCACAACAAAACCAGGCTTACTAAAAATGAACAAGTAAGTTGTCGCTGCCCATGGTTAAACTGTGCTTTGTGTCAATTCATTTGTGTAATGAGTGGGTGCCTTACAAGACATCCTTCAAACACCTAACAAATGAATAACAGAGTTGCAATGTCATACTGTATTTTTGGCCGAGTGTGGAAGGAAATGTAAGTTAAGGTCTGAAGGCAGTCTTTAGACAGGAAGTTTCCTTGAAGGGATACTTTTATTAAGATGGGTGAAGGACAGTATACACTCATCATTGTCTATTTAGCTAAAATTAGCCACGCGTAATTCTCAAATGGTTACACCACTGAGCTATAAATAATGCCGACATCCTGACGACAGAAGTAGGAAAACTATTTTCATTATTTCTTCTTTTCCATTTTTTCACACTTAGGGTTATACTACAAAGAAAGGTCTCTTTGGGCCAGGAATCTGATTGGTTGATGGGGGCAGGAACTTCTTGCTATGGGTGAGCTCAGGGGGTTTTGAGTTTCCAAAGCAGCATTTGGCATATTCAATGGAAGCCAAAGAATTACCCCATTTCCCAGGAAGAGTTCTGTCTGGTTTGTTTAGTTATTTGTTTGTTGAGAGAGAGAGGGCGTGAGCTAGGGGCAGGGAGAGAGAATCCCACAGGTGGCAGAGAGGGAGAAAGAGGGAGAGAAGGAAGCGGGATTCACCCGAAGCAGGGTTTGTGTTCACCCGAAGTGGGGCTCCAGCTCATCTGATGTGGGGCTCCAACTCACGAACCTTGAGATCATGACCTGAGCCAAAGTCAGATGCTTAACTGACTGAGCCGCCCAGGCGCCCCAAGAATTCTGTCGTAACGTAGCCCAGTGATGGGAGTGGTCATGCTGGCAGTAGATTAGGGGTGCTGTAGTCTGCCAGGAAGCTATGAAGACAGATTTTACTCCGTAAGTTTATAGAAAAGCAGGGTCCACAGTCTCCACTGAGGTGCTTTGCTCACGTACAGAAGTTAGGCGCAGTGCTGGCACAATCATTTTACAGGGTCAGATGTGTTTGCCTGGTCTCACGAAGTTGCTTCTGTCCCCTTAGATAGTTAGGATGTATGAGTAGCCACCAGCATAGGTCAGGCTTCCTCAGACAACAGAACCAAAAGGATGGAGATATCTATACTGATAGATAGATAGATAGATAGATAGATAGATAGATAGATAGATTATTATGAGGAATTGGCTAATCCAATAACAGAGCCCAAGAAGTCCCACAATCTGCCATCTGCAAGCTGGAAACCCAGGGAAGCCATTGGTCTAATTCAGTCTTACTCCAAATGTGAAGGCTTGGGAACCAGGGGAGTCAATGATGTACTCCCAGTACAAGGGCAGGAGAAGATAAGACGTGATATCCAAGCTTAACCAGTGAGGCAGGAAAAACAGGGAGAACTCCTTCTTCCTCTACATATTTTGCTGTTCAGGACTTCAAGGGATTGGATGGCGCTCACCCACACTGGGGAGGGTGATCTACTGTATCGCTTGGCGATCTATTTTACTGAGTCCACAGATTCAGATGCTAATCTCATCCGGAAATGGCCTCGCAGACACACCTAGAAATATTATTTAATATGGGTACCCCTTGCCATATGGGTACCCCTCAAGCGGACGCACGGTATTACCCATCACGCCACCCAGTGAGTATGGAAATATTTGGGGAATAAACATGGCACATGGTTTACTATCAGATTGAAACCATAATTATGAACATTTTTACCCATGGCTACTTTTTTTCTGGCATAATCCTCACCTTTGAGGCATTCAAAACCTCACAAACAGAAGGGATCTCATTATTCATTTATGATAGCCTGTCATTCTTTTTTATCTTGGGGGCTAGTACGACTCTTTTAAGACAGCAACATAGCCAGTAGTCCTTGCTGTAAAGCTAGTATGTTCAGTGTCTTCCAGTGTAGAGATCAAAAAGCCCATGCCTTTGAAAACTTCCATGAAAGGCTCTCTGAGTATCGAGTTTGAATAGTCATTCCCAATTAGCCAAAAATATTTTGAGATTGGCCCTTATAGGTTGTGCGGTAGGCTTGCAATAGAAAAATTACACTTGGTGACATTTAAGGATATCACATTTTATGAATAACCTTAGTAGGGGTAGGTTCTCTTTAATTTCCTTGCCTGATCGAAAAGCTGTTATTATCAGGCTAGTTATGCCCTTTTCACTGCCTGAAAGAGAGTGACTATAAATAAATAGCCTATGTTATTGCAGCTTTATTACAATTATTAAATTTGTCTTTCCTTGGAGTCCTAGGTCTTTGGGTCTGCATATGGATTACTTTAAAATATTCCTATGCGTGGAAAGGGGAAACCGCTCAGTTCTCAGATGCCTCATCAAACTCTGTAGCTTAACTTTAGTTCCCACTGCTAAAAGGTACAAATAACCCAGAAAGAACAGGACAAAGGGAACTGAAGTGTCAGACACTGGGATGTTCAGGAAGGCCCTAGAAGAGAAAGGACAATAGATATAAATATACTGGGGCTTGGCACAGATAAACCTACTTTGTTTCCTACGAGAAGCAAACATGAGAAAGTGAAATACAGTTGTAACTGTCATGGGAAGCATTTTAGACATAAAGACAACAGTAATTTACTAATGCTATGTACATTGTTACATCTAGAAAGGGTTAAAGACAAAGTCATCCTCTTCCTCTAAAAGAGAGGTTAGCTCTCATCTGTTTGGAATGATTGGCTTGTCTGGAAGCCAGGGAACAGACTAGACAATCTTTTAAGGTTCTTTCCAGCCCTGTGATTCTGTGATATATTTATACAGCTTCTAGCAGAATCTGTGTATGGTGTAGTTGAAACATTTCTGATTCCTGTGGTCAGTGTGACCTAGAATATATTTATTACTTAGTTATTCCAGATTTCTGTTAAGTTATAAGGCACGTCCTAAAAACTTAAGGGACTGATAAGGTTGAAAAAAAAACAAGCGATTTCGATGTGAAAGCAAATGTAAGAGTGACAGCTGTCTCTCTGCCACTAGCTGACTGGCTGTGACATGCAGAGGGAACCGAGAAGTGACAAGAACCTGAGTGGGAGGAAGTCCAAGAGTGTTTGAAGGAACTGTTTTCCCCCTTATATGCACCCCTTTGGCTAAAGTTGCAAAATGCACAAAACAAGAGGAGGAAAAGAAACATTATTTTAACCTAATATATTGAAGCAACAATTTGTGGTCAGAATAGCTCCTCTGCTTGGTAATTTATTAAAGGAAGAAGGAAGAAGTGATTTAGTAGGTGAGTGAAAATTTTACAGTCAGTGGTTCCCAACCTTCAGCAGGCGAGCTCTGAAAATGTGTTCCCATGGAAACATTGTTCTCCATAGTTCATAACAATTCCACTTCAGGTGCGGTAGGAGTTAAACAGACTGTTGTGGGCTGGCCAGGCCTCTCTCCACCATGTAGAACAGTTCTTTTATGAGAAAATGTGTTCCAAGTTCCCAACTACTGACTTACAAATGAACTTTGGAATCGTGTCCACTATAAGACTGGAATTATCTATACCAGCCCATTCATACACAAAAGCACTTGTGTGGGCCAGAGTCAAATCTGTGTATACATTTCTTCCCAGAAGATAGCTGTCCTTATACACACACACACACACACACACACACACACACACACACACGTAGTACTAAGTTTAACAAAGTCTACTTAATGGAATAAGACGTTGAAGGGATTATTAAGAAGGAAAAGGAGCATGAAGACACCAACTGTTACAATGCCAATTAAAAGCCCATTATATCTGCCCTTATGGAAATAGAAATACCATTGAAGTTTATATTTTTAAAACCACCTCAACAGAAGAGCATAGGCAGATGCTACTGGCCAGATGCTGGGCCTTTTCGGGGCATATGACACAAGCTTATGGTGACATCATTGCATTTATACCCTGAAACCAGATTTTGGGTTCTTGGGCTGGTGTAGATAAACTCTTGGAACATGCAGATTTTGAAAGGGAACTGTTTTGCGGAAGACAGGAGAGTGATCGCCGACAGACTCCCAACCATCTTCGTTAATGGTCTGACACTCTCTCAGAACATCAGTCTGAGTACAGCAAAGGTACACCCCAGGAACAGGATATAAGGATTCAGAATTATTTCATTCTTGTTGAAGAGGGGCAAAAATTGTTGGCGTGGGAGCCTAAGGAATGGAGAAAGAAAATAATTTCACAGTTTTATTTATGTTGGAGCTACTGAGGATTGCGAGTTGGAAACAGCACTTACTACATGCTAATTATTTTCCTTCATTATTTCATTTAATTCTTTTGGACCAAAAATGATACGACTGAGTGTGTATAACTCTTTATTTTATGGATGGGAAAATTAAGACAACCAGATTAAGTCACTTGCCAAATGTAACATAATAGAACGTCTGTGCTGTTTGGACTTGAACCTACGTCTTCCTGAATCCAAAGCCATTCTCCTAACACAGTGGTGTTTTCCACTCTGGCCGCACAGCAGAATCTCCAGCGGAGCCTTTTGGAACATATAGTTGCAATGGCCCTTCTCCTGGAGATTGTGGGGTAGAGTCCAGAAAACTTTTTTTTTTTTTTAATGAAATAAATGTCACACAGGGTTAAGACTCCTGTCAAAACTATCATGCAGCATTGTCCTCTAAGACACTGAAAAAAAATTTTTTTTGAAGAAAATATCATGGTTAAATAAATTTAGGAAACGCTGCTCGCAGGTCCCCCTCTAGGAGATTTATAACGATTGTTCACATTTTAAAGACTGAGAATTCCTCCAGTTAAAGGCAAAATTGACACTCTATTTATCTGGCTTTCCCCTAGAGTTTCCTAGCCTTAATTGACCAGGGGAGCCTTCATGAATGCTCGTGGCTGTCACATGCATCCCACAGAACTCCAACTCACAGCTTGGAAAATGCTGGACTAACCTATTCACTTCTGTGAATCATGCCAGGAAAGGCTACTATTTCACTATAAACTTCACATCTGCTTTGACGCTATTCAACAGCTATTCAAATGATCAAAACCTTGA